GACCTGAAAGGTTCCACTGGGGATTAGTTTGCATTTCCCCAAGCATTAGTCAGTGATATTTTTTCCCATATCTTTACTGGGATTTTGTATTTCCTCTTTTGTCAATTAACTGTGTATACCCCTTCTCTATTTTTCTATTGGGTTGTTTCTTTTTTCCTCTTGATTTGTAGGAGATCTTTATATATTAAGAATTCTTTATAGGCAATATGTATTGCAAATATTCTCTCCTTGTCTACAAATTTCATAGATGCTTTAGATTCTAATGTAGTTAAACTTACTTCTTTTCCTTTGTATCTTTTTAATGTCAAGTATATATTTTTGACTACCCATGATAACTACCAGCTTTAAACACTGTGCAAATACCTTCATTTTTTAGAGATGCTAATGATTTTTGTGCTGATGTATGAGAATTAGAAGGTGAACTTGAGTTGAAAATGAAATTGATCACACAGACCAAGGTCAGTGAAACATAAAGAGTAAGAAAAGAAGAGACTAAGAAAAGCAGATACTTCAATTGTAAATAATTTAAGGTATTATTGGTATAAGGTTCTCTAAACTATATTAATATTTCACATTTCTTTTAAAGATAAGTAACGGTATTATATTATGGAGCCTGTGTGTATATATGGTTTATTATATAGTCAGTAATTTCTAAGAACCTGAGGAAACTAAAGTTAATTCTTTAATATACAAAGCATAATTCATTCTGATGTTAAAAAAAAATCCAGTATAGAAATTTTAAAGTTATTGAGTTCAGTTCACATTTCCAGTCAAGGTGAATTATTTGATTTTGATAAATTATAAAAACAATTCAATTTTGGTAACAAATAAATGCAAAGCTAAGTTTGAATTTCATCCAAATATCCAGTATAGCAGTTGATAGTCAAGGAGGACAAAATGTAAAAACATAATGGCAAGAAACTCATCTATGTGAATAATACCTGATTTTCAAAATAATTTCCTCTATATTGCACTTTTGAGTTTTAACTACTACAAAAAACTACTTTAATATAGAAAAAAATCCAGAAAAAAAGTCATCTAAAAGAATATCCACAATACAGACTCTTCTAATTCACACTCCCAAAACCCAAACAATTAAGGGATTAAAATATTTAAAAGAATTTCAACAAACAATATAGAATAGATGAGAAGTCTTAATTGCCTTTTATAGACCTAAACTAAAACTATACGTCGTAGTTTCTACATGTTAACTATAAAATACTTTTTAATGGGGTAATGTTACAACTGAAGAGTTGGATTTTGTGTTTGTGTCTATACTCAGAACTGGTTCAACAGAAGAGGCAGGGAAATAAGATACAAATTCCCACCTTTGAGATTTTACCAAGAGCAATTTCAGCTGTGAAGATGATTTTCCTTTTACAGTGACTCCTCATTATCCATAATAATGAGGAATAAAGATGGCCTGAATAGGGTTCCAAAAATTCATTTTGGAAAACCATTTTATTCTTTAGCATCATCAAATGATCTAGCAGAAACAGCACAGAAAGAGGAAAGAGAATTGTTCTGTCTCTCACACTTTACTGTGAATGCTCTTTAACAAATAGAGGTGTTAATGAGCATGAAAGTATCTAAACATGGTCTAAAGAAGAAATAAGCAAGTAAATCCAACTCACTTAAGTTGTGTTCTCAGGATATGACAAGGCTAAGCTAAACCACCATTCCCCATGTCCCACAGAACTCAACAGAGCCAAGTCTGCATCATCTTGCTCTCACCCTAGAGTGTTTTTTTGGGAGTAACACCAAGCCACTTTCCAGCAAAGTCTTTAGGGGTCAGTTAGGGATATGTTGTCATTCGACCACACTGGCTGCCTCTCTCTCCAGAAATAATGACAGGCATGTGTTTTTGAAATCAGCTCTCCACATTTCTAAGACAAGGATTGGAGAGCTGCCTTTAGCATTTTAGCTGTCATTAACCAAATGTATTTTAGTTTCTACTGAAATAATAACATTATAGCTTCTATTATTTCATCTAACTATTTAACATTCTTTCTTTGAACAGCTTTCATTTTTTAAATTAGCAATGTTTTTCTAGCTACTCATATTTTAAATCAGGATAAATACAAGTGTTAGATTTATAGTTAAGGCATTTGAGGTCCAAGCTAAGAAATTGAGTCCCATTCTGGAGGTACTGTATGTCTATTGTATCAAGGCTTAAAAATAACTGACTAGGACGTGGAATGGATATTTTTTTACAACGATTTCTTTCTCAATATATACCCACTATCGAAAGTTTGACAAATTGATGGATATGCCATAATACATTACACTATTCTCTTACTGTAGATGCTTTCAATATTTTACCAGTACAGCAAACTTGTATTTAATTCTTATTAGTTCTTTGCTGCCTTAGGGGAAAAATCACCAAAGAGAGAATCCAGGTCAAAGGGATGCATTTTTTTACAAGTATGTCTTGATAGCTATTATTTCACAGAAAAAAACAATTGAGACTTCCAACAGCAGTGTCTGTGAATGCTCACCTTACTGTACCCTTCTCACCTGTAGATGTTTACCATTTCATTGCAACTTTACTCAACTATTAGGTTGAAATAATGTCCCTTCTTTAATTTGGGTTTCTTTTTTTAAAAATTTTACTAATTTATTTTTACATTATTTTGTGCCTTTTTCCATCTCAGTTGTAATCCCCATGTAATTTGGGTTTCTTTGATAAAGAGAAAAATTTATATTTTTTAATGCCAAATGGTATGTAGAGATTCTCTACATCATTTTTATAAATATGATTCACCAACATATAAACATGTACACATCAACAAAAATAGCCCAAAACCCTCAACAATAAAAGATGCACTTATCATATGCACATACATATCTGTAGCAAATAAGTTTTCAAGTTCACCATCCTGCTTTAAGTTTCTGTGCTAAATAGCCTAGTAAATTCACTTCTAGGTGCATGACTAAGAGAAATGAAAGGTACTTCATAACAACATGTACACAAATGTTCATAGCAGCATTATTCATAACAGCCAAAGAGAGGAAATAACCAAAGTGTTTTTTAACCAATGAATACATAAACAAAATGTGGAGTATATGCATAATAGAATACTATTCGCACAAATAAGAAATGAAGTTCTGTTACATGCCACAGCACAGATGAACTTTGAAAGCATTATAATATATGAAAGAAGCTAGTCACAAAAGGTCACCTTTACATAATTTTATTTATATGAAATATCAAGAATTGACAAGTCTATAGACAGAAAGTTAATTCATTGATGTCTAAGACTGGGAAAATGATAGCAGTTTCTTTTGTGGGGGGTGAAAATATGACTGTAGAAATAGGTTCATGACCTATGAATACACTAAAAATCATTGACTTGTACAGTTTAAATAGGTGAATTATATGGTATGTTATTATATTTCAAACTATCTTTAAAATATATGTGGTGGCCTATTAAAATCTACTGTGGTTTCTCTTACATAAAAATAATTTTATCTTTGCTCTAGTTCTTAGAAATGTTTTTAACACAGTACATATTGTGAAACAATATTGTTAAGTAACAGAATGCTCAGAGAAATAACATGTTCTTAGGACACAATGTATTTTATTAATATGACATATATTCTTTGACCTGTTTAATCCATTTTGCCTTAAACTCTATTTCATCTGATACTAACATGTTTAGGATCTTTTCACTGGTGTGAAATATTCTTCTCAATATTTCTGATGTCAAGATTGCTACAGTTTTACTCTCTAGATACTAAGAATTTATATGCGTATAGCTAGATCTGTCCCTTCAGCAACTGTCATTCCCAAACAAACAAAGCTACTTACTGTAAAATGGAGAACCTCCCCACTTAAGTCTCAAAATATGACAGATCATTCCAGGATTTGCTACTCTTTAAAAATACTAACTACCCCAGGACACAGTTTCTTTTTCTGTAGGTTTGTTTGCGATGTCAAGTCTCTTCTGTTTCTATGGCTGCAGATTCAATGACCTAATACAATATTTCTTCAGAGAAGATGTAGGATCTATCAGTTAACTTCCATGAAAATTGTATAAAAGGTAATATTTGGGGCCCTCCCTGGTGGTGCAGCGGGTTAAAGCACTGTACTAAGAAGCTTAAGCCACTTCCACATGAGTTGGGTCCCCACCTGCCCCAGAGGAGATCCACATGGCGCGGCAGACCTCTCCTGACCCGCCCGCTGCTCCCGTCAGCAGTGTACTTTGTCGATCTGCCTGTTCTGTACCCAACTCTGTCCCTGGTGAATCCTCTCACCCTCCGCATCTCGGGCCTGTACCCCAGTTCTGTATGAATAAATAAATCTTTTAAAAAAATGGTAATATTTGATTTCATTTTTATGAAAGACTTTAACCAAAGGGAAAACTATTCAACTCAAGGTTTCTGGACATAACTTAAGCTATAGATGGGTTCATGTTGCATAAATTGAATTCCATCCTCAACTACCCATCAAATCAATACAACCTCAAGAAATAAAACTATAATAACAAGCTACTACTACCACTATTACAATTGCACACCAACAACAATTGAAAGGTTTTAGCTCAGAGAGGGTGATGACCAAAAAAATGAACTGTGATAATAATAAAAAAAAAAGGAGTGTATAAATATTAAGGAACAATAGGCAGCAAAGGATTCTTTCTGGAAGATGAATAAAGATCACGCTGTTACTTACTGGTTTACATAAAGAGTCAACATAACTTCCCTTGCTCTATATCCCTTCCAATAATGTTTAAAAGAAAGGATCTCCAAATTTAGCACTGTATGATCTAGTGTTTTACCATAATATTTAATGTTTAAATATGATGACAATTAATTTTAAGTCTAGTTCAAAATGATAAACACAAAGGGAAAAAAGTCCCTCCCTTTTTACTAACTACTTTCCCACAAACTATATAACCTTTAAAAAGGAAATCTATCTCCCCTGACAATCACTATTTGAAGTATGAGTACTGCTCTTTGTATTGATGGATTTCATTACATGATGCACACTGTTTTACCTGATACATTCCAACTCCAATGTGTTTTGGTTCAATTTTCACCAGCTCTGCTAAAGGATCTTGTACACGCCTTGCTATGGAAACTGGAGAAGAAAAAAAGAATAAAAAAATAAGCATGATTTAATGTCAAAGCAACATTCAGATAATTGCTTATGTTACATTCCTCCTAATGCAAGTATTTAATTCTTCATCCTCTCCCCACAATAATAAACACTTAATTATGTTGCAAAGATTCCTATTACTTTTATACAACACAAAATTTCAGGGTTGATTATGTTACTGGAACATATTACTGGAACACCTAGGTATTCCTAAGCACAAATAGATTGAAATAGTTATACATTTGTGTACAACTAATATACTTCATTGCTATTATGACATATTGTTTGTTCCTTAAATATAGCATAGTAGAGAACCACACACTTGAAAGAACAAAGTAGACGCTTGTTTTCTATTAAATAACTTTACATTATTATTAATATGACATTTACTTATGCAGCAAATAGCCTTGTTAGGACAACATCCTGGTCATGATGAATAAAGATGGAAATCAATCTTAGTTCAATCAAAGATCCAGGTGAGTTCAGGCTTTGCCACCATGCAAAAATCCTAGCTACCCTTGGGCAGTTTCTTTTTCTAGTGAATATACTTGGTTTATTGCTAGCGTCTCCTTTATTCACCTTAATATTGCTAAGTACAGCAACAATAGATTGGAAGTGATGGTTTAAAGGTGACATACTAATTCTTCAATAAGTCCTAAGAGACTCTGGAATAACAGTGTCCCCTACAAAAAAAAAGTTCAACATAGAGCCTAATATTTTAATATTTCTAAAATTGATGTTTTTCATTCAGAAGCTTTTCACTCCATATAGCAGAAATAAACATGGTAGAGATGGGGGATGGGGCGCAGAAGAAGGGAGCGTGATGAACACTGTTTTAAGATAGAATTCAAAAAGGAGTAGGCACAAACTTTGGAGAGAGGATACTGCTGTTCTCCTTCTGACAGGATAACCAAGAAAAGAGTTATTTAGTAGGCAGACACATGCACACCTGTAGGTCGAGAATGATCAGATTGACAACAGATACCTGAAAGTAAGAAGCAGACAGGTAGCTCAGGCAAAGAGTTTTGATAGACTGCTGAGGGACAGAATGAGAGAAAGGAATGTACTTGGGGCATATTCACATTCATTTTGAGACAGAAAAGGTTAGGACGAAACAGTGAAAGAAGCAGAGTATGAATGGTGAGGACAGCACAGTAATAAAAATCAAAAAGACTTCTGGAAAATGTTCAACATAGAATTACCATCTGTTCCCCAATTTTTACTCCTAGGTATACTCAAAAGAAATGGAAACATATGTCCACATAAAAAATTATACTTGAATGTTCCTTGTAACATTATTCATAATAGTGGAAAAGTAAAAATTAACAAAATGTCATATACCCATACAATCAAAAACTAATTGCCAATAAAAAGGAATGAAGTGCTGATACATACTAGAGCATGGATGAGCCTGGAGAACAAGTGCAATCAAAAAGCTTAGCCCCCCAAAGACCACATATTATATGATTCCATTTATATGAAATAGTCAATATAGCCAAGCTATGTAGAGAGAAAATAGATATAGTGTTTTCAGCGGTTGGGGGAAAGAAATAAAGGGAAATAGATTGCTAAAGGATAAGAGGTTTCTATTTGGGGTGATGAAAACATTCTAAAATTAGCAAAAGGGTTATACAACTCTGACTCTACTGCAAAACAAGTATGTATTTGAGTATATCTGTTTTCAATTCTTTTTCAGAACATAACCAGAAGTGGAACTGCAGCACTACACTGTATTCTATGAAGTGGAACTGCAGGACTACACTTTATTCTATGTTTAACTTGGTTTAAGACCTTTGCAAACAGACCTTCTATTAATTGCTTATTTTAGATCCACACTCAGTCCTTCCAAAATACTCTAAAGGTACTTGATGTATTTCCTGAACCTTACAGAGGTACCATGATCTATTTCAGGTTAGTTCTCTGTTTTCTACAAAACTACAATTCAACTTCTGCAAGTTGGCTGTGTCACTTATTACCCCAGCCACTTACTTTCCAGTTTTAAAACTATTGTTGCTATTATTCTTCTATTCACCAGTCCTATGAGTTTATACCTTTACTCTATCACATGACTACCACTTTAATAAAGATTTCAAATGGGAGTAAAGGAACAAAAGGTATAATCTATCTTCCATTTAAAGTGAGACATCTATAATAAACATTTTAACACTATCTATCTACTAATCTATGTTTCTCTCATGCATAGTGTATTTTTTATGGGGGGGATGTAAGCAAGTGTGTATGTGTGTGTGTGTATGTAAAATCATATAACCTAGGTTTTGAATAATGTAATAAGCTGGTCAAGAAGATGTAGTAAGGAAGGTCATTTTCTTCTTTTTAATACCCATATTAATGCTGAGGTTGTGTTATATTCTGATACAGTGGCATCAATCACTGGATTGATGTGACTGACATCAAGTACTAGGAAAGCGAAAGACTTGCAATCAGAAAATAGGAATTGAAAAGGAAGCAGGTCCTTGGAAACCAAGAGTAGAGACTCAGAGATTCTTTCAATATCTGCCTAGAAGGCTAAACTTGAAGACTCAAAATGTATAGGTAGATATTTTGAGTTGATGTGATCAAACATACTCATTGCCACATGGAAGTGGGCTGAGGCAGGAAGAAGGCACACCTGCAATGAACCACAAACTAAACACAGACTTTGAAATCAGTAAAAAGGACCACATAACAATTCCTCTTTTATTATCTCTAGTTCTGTTGGAAATTTGCAATCTCGTCGCTATAACCTACCCACACAGACTACTGATGAAGAGGAAACAGCAGTAGGAGGTCTGAAGAATTTCCACCTCCTTCATAAAGTTGTCAACAACTTTAATAAAGATTAGTAGATTCGCATATACTGTCACCTTAGGAGTGTCTAAATTTGATTTTCTTTAAGTATCCTTTTTTTAAAAGAAGCTAGATATGCAAATATTATGTATACACTATATGGCCTCTTAAGCCTTGGTTTCTTTATAAAGTGGAAATTATAACAAATGTCTCACAGGACAATTGTGAGGACTAAATAAAGTGATTCCGTAATATAGCTATCCCAATGCTTCACATATGTTGGGCACTTAAAGAATATTGCCAGCTGCTACTATGCCTACCATATCAACTCCTCCAACTATTATTAGTACGATTATTAACACAAGACAAGGGGTCGCAGACCACAGTGAGCTGGTATGTTAGGAAAAGTTTCACAAAAAGAAACAAGCTTTTTAGGCTGGGATCTGAGCTGGAGAAGCTGATCATTCTAGACAGAGGATAATATTGTGGAACACACAATGGAGGGGGAACTGCAGCCTCTTCTGAATATAAAAAAGATGTGTTAAAAAAAAAAAAAAGATGTGTTTAACTTTAGATCAATGCAAAAACATTCACCTCTATCTCCAGGAAGAGCCTTCAAAATCAGTCAATGATACCTGATGAGAATACTTAGGGAAAAAAATATATAGTCTAAATATCTACCAATTACACAGAATAATGTTCTGGCCAGATCTCATGTTTTGTTATGATGCCAATTACACTAAATGTTTTGAAGTACCTTTGTTTTTCCATACACAGGATTTTAACTATTCCACATATGAAAAATCAAAACAACTAATTACAGCCAAAGTAGGCTGTTTTAAACAACACACTGATGATAACCACTATAAGCAATAAAGGAGAAACTGGTCCTTTGACACATATTTAGCAATAAGCTGAAAGACTATTCATGAATTTTCACTGTAAATATTTTTGTGTTAATATACCACTTTTTGCCCAAAAAAGCTGCAATAAATAATACCTTATAATAAAAGATCTTAAATTGTTTCATCATTAACTCTCTGACATTTAATTTTTTTAAAGATATTTTGTGCTATTTTTACTACACTCCAGAATGCTATGCAGTGTTCTCTATAAACAGTATTTTTCCTCCTGTTTTCCTGAATTCTAATTATTATTCCAGACAAGTACTTTCTCTCTTCATGCCAATTCTTATACACGTATCATATCTTTAAAATGTCCTCATATACTTAAATATTTTGGTTGCTTTAAAAACAAGTTCAAATATCAAAATCAATTGCTTTTGCATGGTGCATAATTTCTTACCTGCACTTCTCAAATTAGGGTCCAGTCCTGGCATCTCCTTGTTAGCTTCAGGACTGACACTATATATTGATGCTCCTGCTTCACTGACAATACTGAGGAGGAAAAAAAGGATGGATATCATTTCCCAAACTTTTTGCCTGGGTAAGGAAAATAAATGAGCGAAACCGGGCATTACAAAACTAGGCATTACAGGAAAAAAAGTAAGAGGACAAAATATTCTCTTGATCTCAATGATACCTAAAGCATTTAACCTTTCATTAAGATAAAGTGAGTAAGCAGTATTTGCTTTTTTTTTTTTTTCATATAGTAAATACACAGGCTTAAAACCATAGTGAATTTATGAAGTTGTTTTCTCTATATTAGTAGTAAGAGCTTATAAATGACTACAATGGATACTCCCCCCACCACGATGCCAATTTCAAATTTGTCAGGCCATACTAGCTTCTCTAAAATTTCTAACCCATTATAGCCTAACATGTATGATTCTTGCTTGAATGAATCATTCTAAAGCATCTTGGAAAACACATTAAAACACCTGTGAATATGTGGGTAGAAACAAAAAACATTTTCATGTACACTGTCATGAATATGACCTGAATATGACTAACCACAACAATGTGAAAAGAAAAGGGATCAGATGGGATATTTTTCAACTTTTCAAAAGGAGCTAAAATTCTTTTAGTGAACTAAAAAATAAAATCTTTCACTTCGGGCAGGTGTTTAAGTATTTTACCATGTATTTAACCAAAGCATCACATTTATGTTTGTCCTTTCCACTTTGACTCTACATACTTTACAAACCATAATGGGAACCCCCAGTACAGCTGACTTTAGTGTGGTGTTTGTCATTTGTACAGGCTGAAAATATTTTTAAGTTAGAAGTCTTCTTTATGATGTAATATGCCTCTCCCACATGTATTCAATATACCTAACCCTCTCTACCATTAGATGACCTAGGTGCCAAGATTCAAAAGCAGAATTTTTTTTTTTTCCTAATGTGAAATGAAATTCTTTAAGAGTAATACAACGGTTTGTTTTTACATCATTTTGTGCCTTTTTCCATCTCAGTTGTAATCCCCGTGGGCCATCACCCGAGTGCCATCACCACAGTCCAGTGCACTTCCCTCCCCTATTGTGTTTTTTTTTTTTTTTAAGATTTATTATTCATACAGAACTGGGGTACAGGCCAGAGGCTCAGGGGCGGTGAGAGGCTTCACCAGAGACAGAGTGGGGAGCAGAACAGGCAGATTGACGAAGTACACTGCTGAGGGGAGCAGCGGGCGGGTCAGGAGAGGTCTGGCTCGCCATGTGGTCTCCTCCGGGGCAGGCGGCAGGCGGGAATCGAACTCATGCGGAAGTGGCTTCAGATTCTCAGTGCTGTGCTGTGCTTTAACCCGCTGCGCCACCAGGGAGGGCCATCCCCTATTGTTTTTTAACCCATTTCCCATTCCACTCCTGTAAAATGTCTCTGGTATATAGCTGTTCATTATTATTATTATTATTTTCTAGTCTGTTCCTTTATATTCCTGCTATGAGTGAAACCATCCAGTATTTTTCCTTTTCTTTCTGGCTTATTTTACTAAGCATGATAAAAGTAGAATCATTTTAGTGCTTGATTTTTAATCCACTTTAGGAAAACTCTCCTTTTCTCTACTTCGCTATACCTGCAATTATCAGACAAGATAGTAGATAACGTTTAATACATCACTCCGTTCTAATGACTAAACATCAATAAATAGTTAGTTTGCTATGTCTTTAAAGAACACATCAGTGAAATTTGACAACTAAAAACTACTAGAATTTGAGAAGACAATTCTGTAAATGTGAAGATTTATACACACACACGATTGTATTTTACAATCTATCCTAAATTTCCTAATGGAAAAAAATGAATACTGCAACTGAAAAGCAATACTGCTCAACTTATTCTTCATCAACACCATCATGATACACTAAGAGGTAACTGAGTGCATTTTATATACAACGTGTAAAACCAAGCATCATACAGGCTTATCTCATTTAATATTGGGGTGTGGCATTATTTCTACGGAGACATGATGTAACTAATATGATACAGCTGATAAGTACCTGTACCAGTTTTAATTCTAACCTGCATGATTGTACAGCATAAGCATAAGTAACCTCTGAATAGCTTCACCATTTCTCATAAAAATAAACACTTATTTATCTTTTTTTTTTTTTGGCTAAGCAAAAAATACAACATCTATTTAAGAACTATTCTCTTAAAACACAAACCTGTAAAAATTCATTTCTCTCTTTCACATTTGATCAAAAGGTAAAGTGAATTTTGTTTCTTATATGTCTAAGGCAGACTGTAAAGCATACAGAAGGTCAAATATGGTCTATAATTTCAGGATTGATTAAAAGATAAAGGTAATTGCACTTTTTCTCAAAAATAAGATTCACATGCTTATCTTCTATTTATATAACGGTCAAAGAGAAACTATAATGTCAAATAAAGCTTGAAGTGAAAAAGAAAATTCTTATTGTGATATAATATGACATCAAAACCAATTGTATAAGAAATAGTTTCTCAATTCAATTATAGTAGCACTTCCTAATCTAGAGTCCTTGGGTTCTGGGCAGGCATTAATTAAAACTGTGCATAATGTTTGTGTTTGTGTTTATGCTTTTTTCACTAGGAAAAGGAGCTACAGTTTTCATTGATGTTTAAAGAAATCCATGATCCCCCAAATGGTTAAGAAACACCAACACAGAATGAGAATATTCAGTTACTAGCCCATGGAAAATTTGGTTTCAAACACAAATTAACACTTAGTCTAAAAATCTCCTTTCCAAAAACCCAGAGTACCCATGAAGTGCAGACTTGACCTATTATTAAGAAAACAGAATGTTTTTAAAGCTCTTACCACAAATTTATTTTCTATCATTTCCAGAAGCCTCTAAAATTTCCAGTATTTAAGCAGAAGGAATTTAAATGATAAATAAAAATTCCAATTAACTGTGGCCTTAAGCAGTCAGGTACCTGAGAATTTGCTGGATGATTCACTGTCTCTTAGAAGTTATAATTCTCAATAGGCTGAGGGAAACTATTGCAAAGAAAAACACTCAGATAATAAATATTCCTCCAAATACCATACTGCCACTTCTTTTAAACACAGGAATACAAAACAGATGTGACATACTGCACCCAAAGATTTTAGATTAACATTAATATTAAATCAATACAAAATGTAGTAAATTTTATGTGTGTTAAGTTATTACGGAGCATGGGTCCAATAATCAGTTAAGGACTTAAGCACAAATCAAAACGCTTAAATAATCTAAATGAACAGAAAAACCTCAATATGGATCACTTCAATATAAAACATATAGTAACCTAATAAGCATACGTGGCAAGAATGAAACAAATCAAGCTCAGAGTGGTGATGACTTTTTTCAGGAGACAGTACTAAGAACAAAAGTCATTATGTCTTTTCTCACCCTTTATTCTTCCTTTTTGGGGTTTAAGGATAAGGCAGTAAGCAGAAAAATTAACTTTCTGTTTATTGGGAAGTTTCCCCCTAAACTACTGAGAAAGAATTCCAATTATAACTAATATATTTTGAGAAAAGCAAAAATTAACTTTGCAAAAAATGCAGGTATCTAATTATTCAATAAGTGTTCTATTTCACAACACAAATTCCTCTCAGTTGTAAACAAAATAAATTCATAATCTTAGCAATTTGATGATATTATTTATTTTGCCACAAGGCGAACAAGACTAAGCAGAATTTATTTTAGGTGGAATTTAACTGAGAGCTGTAACTGAACTAAGGGTTCAAGATTATTCCAATACTCTGTATTTCCTTCAAATTGCTAGTTTAGGCAAATATATATAATAGATACAGAGAATCTCAAACTTTCAATGTATGAAAGTACACTACAAAAGTTACCAGAATACTGTATATTAAGACAATTGCTAAATTCCCTGGAGTTAACTCTGAAGTTTCTAAACATTTTATCGAATTCAGCAGCAGTATTTAAGGTCTTTCTATTAAAAACAAACAAACAAACAAACAAAAAGACACAAACCATATATGCATAACCAAAAAGGCAAGTGACATATTTACTTTTAATTTTTAAAAATCTATAAAATACTTTAAAATGCCAATTTTTTGCTATTTCAAGTAAAATTCAACGATGTCAAAAAAAATCTGACCATTATTAAGATGTTATTTAAAAATATGTTTTAACTATAGGATTTATTTCCAGTTTAAAAGACCCTTTACCAAAACACTGCATATTGATGTTTTAAATTCAGATTTGCAAGTAGTTTTCTGCCTATTGATTCTGATGGTAAGAGAATGACCATTTCACAAAATTGAAATGGGAAGTGTAGAGGGGAATAATTATTTTCATGAGACTGCAAAACTTTTTTATTTTTAAGTTATTAATAGTTTTCACATTCATTTATAAGGTTACATGAAGTTCTATGAGTCTCCCAATTCTCAAAGACAGCATTTTTTTCTTATTTCAAAATAAATGCTTCCTTATTTTAACAGGAATACCTTATTCAAATGTAGAAATTAAATGAAAATGCAGTTATTTCATACAATATGAAAAATTAGGATATACTGCTTAAACTAACAAAAACTTAAGTGTTTTAATTCTTCATAAAAGTATACTTTAAAAAAATTAAATAGCTACCATACTAAATGCTTTTTCACTGCTTTATAAAAATCATTTCTTTAAAAAACACTCCTCCAAACTTTCTAAGAAACAATCGTATAAGGAGCATTTTTCTTGACCTAAGTTTCTCAGTAAAAAATAGGAAAGAAGTGCTAAAAATGTTAAACCATCAAATCTTAATTCTTTGTTCTACATATAAGACAACCTGCTCAGAAGCATGAAAGGATAGTTATTTGTATATTAGGGATAAGGACACGAGGCAAAATCAAGCCACCATGAAAAAAGGGGCTCTCAGATTTAATGTTAAAGGATAAGTTTTATTTCTAAGAAAGTCAAAGTAAGCTTTCACCCCTGTATCTAGTGATGAATTATCATTTCAGGAAATATCAAAGTAGTAGTATAGATATCTAGCAATAACTATTTAAAGGGTTCACTAAAT